ATCAGTATTGAAGGAAATAACTTAAAATATTAAGTCCTTTAATTACATAACTTTAAATGCCTTGGGAAAGTTTGTGAAAAACTATAGATTTTTTTCACAAAATCTTAAACAAAATTTATAAAAAAAGATTGAGGGTATATTATAGAATAATAAAGATTTGAGAAAGTTTATGATAAACGATAGAAGTGTTCCGTACCGAAATGCATCACTAGAAAAAGTGACAAAAAGTGACACTTACTCTTATTTTGCGCGGTAATTTTTCTAAGTTATTTTATTAAGCTAAATGTGTTATATATCAAATCAGCTTTATAAATATTATAGAAAAGTTTATTTTTATTTTTATTTTTAATTATTATTATTATTTTTTAAATTAAAAGAAAACATTAGAATTATATGGATATATTTAAATTAATTATAAAAATAAAATTGAATATATTGAAGTTTGAGTTTATAGGTATACAAATTTTAGAGGCATTTTGGCTGAGAACTATGGTCTGCGAGGTACATAGATAGAATCAGTACCTCGCAGACTATAGTTCTCTATATGGCGCCGAAAATTTTTGGTGAAATGTCGTCGCATTTCACCAAAAATTTTCGGCGCCATAGGAAGAATTGGAGGGTGTGAGATACTATTACATGCTATAGTACTCACACCCTCCAATTCTTAGCCAAAACGGCTAAAAATTGCTCACAATTGTTGAAATTGTGAGCAATTTTCAGCCATTTTGGCTGAGAACTATGGTCTGCGAGGTACATAGATAGAATCAGTACCTCGCAGACTATAGTTCTCTATATGGCGCCCAAAAAAAATTTATGATTGTTTTTTATCAAATCTTATCCATATTATTCTATTAATGTTAATTATATTTTGTTAATTATATTTTATCAATTATATTTCTTAAATAATAAACACAAAATCCACTAATTTAAAATTGGCGCCAAATGTCACTTTTGCTAGTGATGCATTTCGGTATGATATATTTTTTCAGAAAAGTTTATGAAATTGATAAAAAATCTCGATTACAAATCTGATTTATTATCACAAAATAATCTTATTTTGAGTATCTTTGTGATAAACGATAGATTTTTTGGCACCATTTTTTAGCTACTAAAATTGCAACATCAACTTTGTGCGGTGAAACCCGTTCTTGTTCAAAACGGCTGAAACTGGTCGTGGCAATATCGTCGGGATTTAAGCAGTTCAAGAATTAGAGTTTACTGTTGTATGTTATTCCTTAATATTAAAATTCCTTTTTATCTTTGATCGATAAGTATATATTCTGAACATGCATATAGATCATACTTAGTAGTTAGATCGATAATCTATCATTTATTTATGGTTTCCTATACATTTTGATTTAAAGATTAATAGATTTGATAAATAATTATTAATTAGTAAGGTATCATTGCATTACAATTCAATCTGTATTATACTTTGCTATTGTGGAGATGTTTTAAGTGTCTTACAAATTGAAAGGGATTAATATTGCGGGAAAGTTTGAATGCAATTTTTACATGGCGGGAAAATTTGAAAAGAAAAGAGGCGCCAAAAGTGTCATTTTTCATTTGGTAATCTCTCTCGAGCAGCCAAGGAATTTTAAGATCTGACTCCAAGTAGGCTTGATTACGGATACGCCAGTAAATCAAAGCAGATCTTTACATCAGTTGTGCGGTGTTAAGATTCTCATTTGATCGAAAACAAATGATGTAATCACTTAACTGGGGTTGTCTCATAAGAGCTCAAACCAGATCAGTGCATCAGTTGTGCGATGTTATTAATCGAATTTGAGCTCAGATTCAATAAAAGTTATTTCCTATCAGATGTCAGCCCTCTCATTACTTGTTTCAGATCTAGCAGCGGCTATCATTCTGTCATTACTTGCTTCAGATCTAGCAGTTGCATTCATTCTCTCATTACTTATTTCAGATCTAGAAGTTTTTATCATTTTCCCATTACTTGTTTAAGCTCTAGCAGTGGCATTCATTCTCTCATTACTTGTTTAAGCTCTAGCAGTTTCAGTCAATCTCTCATTACTTATTTCAGATCTAGAAGTTTTTATCATTCTCTCATTAAATGTTGTAGATTTAGAAGTTGCATGATGTCGGTACTTAAGTTAGTATCTAGTTATTGGGTACCAAGGGTCTACACCCCCCGGACCCCAAATTACTAGAATTTACAAAAACCGTTTGACACGTAAAATACATCTGACACTTTGCAAAATAAAAAATAATTTTTTTAAAAAATAAACTTAAAAATTAACGTTAAAATTTTTGACACTTTACAAAATAAAAAAATTTTTAAAAAATAAACTTTAAAAATTAACGTTAAATTTTTTTATTTATTTTTTTTATGATAGATTTTAACACCCAGAGTAAAAAAAATAATTTTTTTAAAAATAAATTAACTCAACAATTTTTTAATTTCTGTATATACTAAATTATTCATAAATGATGAAATTAATTTAGACCCTTTGGGTCTCGCCGCTACGCGGCTTAGGGTATATCTAACCCGATATCTAACCTCATTTCTAACCTTGTGAATTTTCTTATAAAGTTGCAATAGTTGAATTCAGTAACTGAGCCTCAAGGAAGAAAACATCCTTTCCGTCTTCGGGTAACACAACGGGGCATTTATGATCATGTGTAGAATACATATCAATCCAAAACTCTCTATTATTTCCTGATAACTTATAATATTTAATATTTGTTAATGGTGATGATCTAGTATGTCCAATAAATTCATTTTCAACCCCTTTAGCGATATTTGAATATAAAATGTCTTGTTTTCTGTCCCATACATTATATGTTATTATTGGTAATAATACTGTTCGTTCTTCTCCGGGTTTATAATTAAATACATTCATGAAGTCTTCATTATACTGAGAAATTTTAAAACCTATCCTAAAATCACTTTGTCTCTTTTCTGCTATTTCATTAAACGGCGAGTATATAACAAATGTGCATGTATGTGAATCATCTATTTGTTCAATAAATTCATAATGAAAGTCTATAATCTGCGGATGAATTCCTTCTTCACCTAATTTATCAAGATACACATTTAATCCTAAAGCGTTTTTGTTAAATTTCTTTTCGAAAATTTCGTTAAAATCACTCATGCATTCATATAATGTTGTGTCGTCTTTGAAATATTTATATATGTGAATAGTTTGCTTAAATTCTTGGGTTTCGTTTATAACAACAACTTCGAGCTCAAATTCAACCTTTCTAAATCCTCGCGTTATATACATATTTGATAAACCAATATATTTTTCATTTATATTCACAGACCAGTCAATAGGTAATTTAAATGTGATTCTATTTCCATTTATTTTAACATTTTCGTCTTCAGAACTGAAAGCAACTGTTAAAGGTACTTGTCTATACATTTATTACAAACAAAAATATATCATTTATTCTTTCTTCTCAATGGAAAAGGGTCTTCAACACTCATGAGGCTCAATGAGCCTCTTCAGCCTTTTCCTTCTCCGCCTTTTCTTTAGCCTCACGTTCTCTTTTTGCTCTCATTCTCGGGTTCTTCTCTCTTCCTACAGCTAATGCGGCTAACTGCTTTTCACTTAATTTCCTTTTTGGTTTTACTTGTTTTTCTTCGGCTTTTGGTGTCTTTAGTTCTATTAATATCTGCTCACGAATTTCTTTTTTGATGGCTTCAATATCTAATCCCTGACTCATTTGATTACCGATAAAAAATTCAAAATTTAAAAATTTTATTTGAATTAAATATGAGCCTATCAAAATCTGAGAGACAATCGATTATATTAAATGATGCAAGAGGAATTCAGCATCCATTATATTATGTATCAACAAGTAAAGATGGAAAAATTTATGTAAGAAAAAGAAGAGTTCCATTAACGAATTCGGAAACTGATAAAATGATATAAACCTAAACTGAAACAAAAGCGGAAGACAGCGAGGCTGTCAGGGCAAAGCCCACGATAAAGGAAACGGAACCTAAACCCGATGTACTTTCGATAACGAATCAAGAATTAATAGCTAAATTTGTAAATTTCAATGAAAAGCAAACGGAATCAAAAAATCCAGACCCACCAGTAAAAGAACAGGAAACCAAAATTAATGAAGAGTTTGTGAAAAACGTAAAACATGAAATTATTGAACAAAAGAAACAAATTCCTCAACTAAGAAGAAGAGTTAGAATATTAAACTAAATAAATATTTTTATCTAACATAAAACATGCAAAACGAACAGCTTAACGAATTTACACCAGCTGAACATATCCATCAAATTCGTTCATATTTTGATGTAATCGATAATGCACTTAATATTGGTGATACTAATAGAAGATATATCGATGCTAAAATTCCATCACACCCAGGAAGCGCAAAGGATCATAACTGGGTCACATTCAATTTATCTCCGCCAGGTGAAAATATGCTAGACCTTTATAACACATTCCTTACAACTACCTATAAAAGTAAATATATCTGGATAAGCTATTACTGGTTCATCAATTCCAAATACTAATTCTCCAGGTTTCTTTGGCGTTTTTGATGAATCAATTTACACCATTGAAGCATATCAGTTATTAGCAAATGGAAGAGTTATTTATAGTCAGGATAACGCAAGAGAAGAAGCATATATCATTTCTAATTCACAGACTACAGAACAAATAAAGAAAGTTGATGTTTTCTCAAAAACGAGACATAAAGATGTATGGAAACGTTCTGGAACAGTTCGAACAGGTCAAATTATCTCAGGACCTTTAGCTGCAGGAGCTGAAATTAATTTTGACATTAAAATAAAGATTCCATGTCGTAAATTCCTTATTCTAGAAGTTATTAGATTTATTCCTGCTTTTGCAGGCAACATTCAGTTAAAGGTTAAATTTAGTAGCGATGCATTCCAGGTAACAGCACTGCCGGTAGAAGATATTTTAGCTCATAATCCTTCTTTAATCAGTCAGGTAAAAGATAATTATGACCCACCAACTAATAAATTTGTTCCATGGAATGAACCATTCAATATGATAACAGCAGTTTCTAAATCAAATGGTGAAATTACTGTTTCAACAGTTGAACAAAGATTAACGAAGAAATCAGCTGAATTCATTGATTGCTTCATTCATCCTAAAGCATTTTCACTCGATCCAAATATTTACACTGAATTAGTCGATCATTATACATCATAAGCTTTATGTTTTCCAATTAAAGTAATGGACTGGATTCCTATGGACGGTTCGTTCAGTAAAGGTTCACCATCAGCAACGTTCACAGCAGCTTATACACCAATTAACGTTAAAAGCATTTGGGCTTTATTTAGGAAGAATGATAATTATATCGTGAATTTCGAAAATCCTCAATTTGAAACCCTTCAATTATCAATGGGCGCTTATGGAAGTATGCCAGCTGAACCGAAAGCTCTTATGGTCCTGTGTTCTATGAAATGGTTGCTAATGCATGCAATACAAATAACGATATGATAGGATTTAATGAAGATGTGATGAGGTCGTTAATTGATGATGGAAGCGTTAAACATTTATATGAATCATATGATAACACTCATTTCCTCTGTGGATTCCCTACGGAAACTGATTTCACATTTCAACAGGGTCAAACATCAACGGCACCAATTACATATAAATTAGGTGTTAAAGCTGATGATACAAATATAAGCGAAAAATACACTGTCAAATCTTTATTAGGATTTCTTAGAAATGCTTGTTTCGCTATTCAAGTCAGACTAGCTGGCATTCCTGCTGTTAGAATTGATGATTATAATTTAGCTGCTGATGGAGGTGATGAATAAAAATAAAACTAGTTAATTTTTAATTTTCTGATTTTTTTATTTTTATAAAAAGATGGAAAGTAGATGTAGAATAAATGGAGTAGAATATAATTTCGTTGATGAAATCAGTGAAAATTCAATAATGATTAAATCCTACGGAAATAATGAATTTGAGGATTTATTTTACGACGGGAACAGGACAAATTTGCCACACGGCACTTTTTTTAAAAAAATTAATGGAGGAGAGCGATACTCTGCAGCAGGAGCCCCAAGGCTCCCAATCATTACGAAAGGGAGCCTCAGGGCTCCTGAGAAACCTCTTTGAGAAGGTTTTCTTAAAGAAAACCTTCTCAAAGATGATTGTCAGCATTCACTCAAAATCTACCAAGAGTTTCAAAGTTTCAAATCTATCTGAAATGAAGCTTTGAATCTCTTGTATATCTAATTGTAGAGGTACCTTTTCAAAATGTCTTCTATTGATTAAATTTAATCAGTAAAAGTCATTTTGAAAAGGTACATCTCTATAATTGCTATTGAGCATTCACTCTTGGAACCTTGGAGCTCTTGTGTAGTGCATGAAAACTCCAAGATTCTAGCATAAAACATATATCATAGACATAATTTCTTCAAATATAATTTAAGGTTATTTTTTTTAAAAAAATAGAAAAGCGTAATTTAAGGTTATTGAAAAGTGACACTTGGTAAATTTGTCCCGCACTCTTTTACGACATTGATGCAGATTTGTTTTATTATTATAATGGACGTAGATATAAAGAACTTTACATTAATGAAAACATAAATGGTTCATTATATGTTAATGTTCGTGATGTAAATGGAAAAAGAACATGCATTACATATAGTAAATTCAAACGATTACATGATTTAATATAAAAAAATAAATCTAGTTAATTTTTAATTTTTCATATTTTTTATTTTTATAAAAAGATGAGCTGGCAAACACTCGAACATGATAGCGAATATGAAATTTTCACTGAATTTCCTTATACTATAAGAAGAATATCTAATAAAAGAGTTGTAAGTGAATTTGACGAGGGGGATGGTTATATTTGTGTTAATCTTAACAAACATAAACTATTTAAACATAGGATAGTTGCTGAAACTTTCATTCCTAATCCTGATGGGCTTCGTGAAGTCGATCATATAAATAGAGATAGAGGAGATTATCACATATCAAATTTACGATGGACAACGAGGAAAGAAAACATGAGAAATATATCTGGTTCTAATGGTTATTAGTTTGAAATTATTGATTCACTTCCTGAAGACGCAATTGAAATCATTCAATATTCAAAATTTACTCTTGAAAATTACTTTTATGTCCCGAGTGAAGATTCATTTTATTATTTCATGGGAACTCAATATAGAAAATGTAATGTTTTGCGTCAGTACAATAGAGATTTCATTAAGATTACAGATGTAGAAGGAAGAAGAACAAAATTATCTATTGCAAAATTTAAAAAGATAATGGTTATGCATAAATGACAAAAATAATGAAGTCATTTATTTTTATCATTAATGACTTCAGAACTTTAATTTCCTGATGAAAGTATTTTTAGTATTTATTGTGAAGTTAAACTTATTTTCAAAGCAAGGTTGACATGATTTGCATAAATCAGATGCAATTTCCTGACCGTCATGAAGTGCATTGTAAAGTTTCATTATACTGAACTCAGAGTCTTTGTCATATTTTCCAACAGGAAGATGAATGTTCTTATCTTCATTGTAATAGCATTGTACCGCGTCAGGAAACATTTCATTAGCTGTTAAAGCGATGACATCTTGTTTTACGCCTTTCATACGTGCATGAAATGCAACTTCATTTAAATCATTTGTGAGTAAATCAATGTAAGTCTTCTTTCCACAAAATATTGACTTATAAGCTAAACTTTGTTTTCCTTTTGTGATTTCGGCAAAATCTGAATGAAATTGACCTAAATTCTTTCCTATTAATTCACGACCATATCTTTTCTGAAATTCCCGAGCTAAACGTGGTATGTCTTCATTGAAAATATGCATGCTATCACAGTCCTGGTAGAAGATTTGAAGTTCCATATCCTCAGCAGTGCAAAATACTTCATTCATGATACGTTTCGACATAGATAAGATATTAACACCTAAGGGGCAAAAGTTAAAGTGTCTGCAAATGCTTTTAGTTAGTTTGAAAATAGTTTTATCCAAACCATCTAAACCTTCGAACTTAATAATATGATTATAATTTCTTATGGCATACCTAACAGCATCTTTATCATCAATGATTTTAATTTTCGACTCTATCGGGGACAAAATAGTTTTTCCATAAATACTGTTCAAAATTAATTTAATATTTTCTTGTAGCGGGTTTTCTTCCTTCTTATACTTTAATCTCAATTCAAACAATTTCTTTACTTCATCTCTTATTCTAAAATCTCTCTTTTCATCGTAGTAGTAACCCTGTAATACTTTGCAACTGATGCCCTGATATTTTATTAAATCTTGTAAAGTGATGTGGTCCACATACATTAAACAGCATGTGTTTGAACTTCTTGGAACAGTGGCTTTGTCCTTGGTGCTTTTCGCCTTTAGCTCCGGGTTGAATTCTGGATCGACTGTTATAAGTGGAAAGTGCCTTTTAATCTTAATCTCTGTTATTTTTATTAAAACGAAGAAGCCAGAAATAAATTTCTCACCTTCTGGCTCGCCCTGGTCATCATCGAATAAATGTTTTAACAAATATTCAGAGCTTAACATTTCTTTCTTCATAACCTTTGGAATTCCTTCTAAAGTATAAAGTCTCGCGATAGCGGATGGATATAGTGAAACAGCATCGAAGTCAGCAATGAGTTTCTTTTCGCTCTTTTGTTTCTTATTATCAGCTAACATACATCTTCCACCTTGAATACAGCGTGAAATAAATTCTCTTGGTTTATTTGAAGGTCATATAAATTTCCATTCGGGAAATATACTCTGTTTTCGAAAAGTTTGTTAGCGATTGAACAAATGCTAACGTAATCATAAACGTTTAAATCAAATTCTTTTAATATATCATTTCTGAACTTAACGAAACCTTCTCTTAAAATCCTTATGTCCTGTTTACAGTAAAATGAGCTATATTTTTCTAAATTGAAATGGTTTTCATCTATTCTGCAGTTTTCGATTAAATCTATGTTTTTCATGAACGTTTCAACATCTTTTACAAACTTACATGCTTCAGAAATGACACCGGTTTTGTTATCATTAACTAATAAAGAACTTGAATAATATTGATACAGAAATACTTCCTTGGGTCCAGTTTGTAAATGAAACATTTCAGGAAATAGTTTAAGCTTCTTATTTATAACAGTGTATGAATCTTTTATAATGATTGCTTTACCTTTATATATTCCCGTTATCTGCATTGTTCTAGAACCCTTAATAATTGGTGTTCCGCTAATTTCTGTTAAATGTCTTAAAATGAAATTGATATCATAACTGAGGTTATGAAAATATATTAAACTTTTATCAGGAATTCTTTCTAAAAATTCTGTTGCACAATTTTGACCCCAAATGCTTTCGCGAATCTTTTCATCTTCACTGTCATAACAAATGTTAAAGGCTTTATGAACTCCATCAGTGCTACATTCAAAGTCAGCAAAGAAAACATGTTCATATATGAATTTCTTTTTTGCCTCATTGGTGTCTTTTGACTCTGCTTTCTTCTTTAGTTGCACACAGTACCTTGGGGTATAATTTAAATCTTTAAACGGTGCAAGTTTTTGTTTATATAAATCTGTTGTATAAGTGAAAAGTTCACCATATGATAAAGGTTCAAAGTAATTGCATTCTCTTAATGTTTTCAAAATATCCCATAAAGGAGTTGTTCGCGTATAATCAATAACAAATCTATTTTCCCTTTTCTTATATATTTTCATTTGACGTTCTATATTCCAGCCGCCTAATGATTTGAGAATTTTGTTATAATTTTTGATAAAATATGTTGTCATGGGTAATCTTTCATTTAACATGTAATGGTCTTCAACAAGAAGTAAGTCAATAGATCGAACAGTTTCACATTCTTTTGGTATATATCTCTTTATTTCATTATGTCTAGAGTCATTGAAATAACCAATGGTAACATTAAATGCTATGCCTGTTGCGTTAGAAATTTCCTGAATCTTACTTTGTGGAAAATCTCTAACTCTAATAACTTCACGCATGTGGTCTACCGTCTGCTCATCAACTCCAGCCTGAATGCAAGCATAAACGAAGCAGTTATCTTCTGTCATCAACTTAGCAGTTCTTTTATTAAGTTCATTGAAAATTTGATAGCGTTCAAGATTTATAGGTAATCTGCAAATATATTTCCAAAACTCACCACTTCTCTTTTTATTCGTTCTCTTTTCACCAAGAATTTCCCTCCAAAAATCATCTATATTTTTTTCCTATTTCTTTAAGTCTAATAATCTTTGCTGATCTTTTGTTAATTTGCTTTCATCTCTTTTTTCTCTCTTCTGTGGCTTACCTTTCTTAATATCGCTCATCGTTAATCCTTCATATTCAGTTAAATCATACATTTTAATTTCTTCGAGGTTCTTAATATTTGTCATGAAGAAATCATAATGTTTTTCAATTATTCCGGCTGCGTTTGCTTCAATCTCTGTTATAAAGTTTTCTTGCTTTAACTGATGAAGTAAAGCTCCGATGTTCTCGATATTCAATGTTGAATTAGTAAATTTACCATCGAGTTTATAACAAATCATCCATTTTTGCTGTGAATTTACTTTTATCTTCTGCAGAAGCCTAATAAACATTTTACCGAAACGTTCATGTAGGTAATTTCTGTTTTCTTCATTGAGTTCTTTAATGTTAAAATCTATGATTCTATTTCCTGCTTTAACATTTTTGCGTTTATTATTTTCATCCTTCTTTAACCATTTCTCACCATCAAGAGCTTTATCATCTATAGATTTAATTACTTCGTTTGCTTTGCGTAATTGTGCAATTGCTTTTGCATATTTTACAGCTATATTTTTCTTTTCTTCATCGCTTTTGTTCTTTCTCGTTTCACCTACATTAACATTAGTTATATCGTGCATTTCCTGCCTTACTTCTTTTGGTACCGCCTTACGTGTCTTTCCTACATCAACATTAGTTATATCATACATTTCTTTTCTTACTTCCTTCGGTACTGCTGGCCTTGTCCTTCCTACATCAACATTCATCATATCATGAATTTCCTGTCTAACTTCCTTCGGTACCGCTTGTTTATGATATAAATTAACCTGAACATCATTTAAATGAAATGTTTTGTTATTAATGTAATCATTAATTTTCTCGTAACTGATTTCACCTCTGTAATCATTGAGGTATTTAGCTAATGAAGATTTGTTAGTCGCATATCTTTTGCTAACTTCAATGTCAGCATTCTTCAATAACTTCTTAATTTCTTCATGGTCTAATCTAGATAGCTTTTTATACATCTTTTACGGAAAATAAAAAAAATATTTTCCGTAAAAAATAAAATTTATTTTTTTAAGTTAATTTTTTTAAAAAATTATTTTTTTAATTTTAATAAAATAATGTCTGAGTACAAGTTCTATTCATACAATGCTCTCGCTAATGCTGTCAAAAATGAGTTCAGTAACGCGATAAACGTGAACGTTATATTCAATAAAAAGTCTGTGAAAGAATTATATACATCGTTTGTTAAACCATATGCTATCATTATTGACAGAAAACGTTACACACCACATGAAATAGCAGTATTACTTAAACAGAAAGGAATATATGTAAATATTAAAGATTCTCATTATACGATTATGAAGAACTCTAACGTTGAATTTTTCAGCATTGTTTTAGATTTAACGCAGCAGAAAGAATTCAAGAAAGGAGAAAATGTCGTTAAATATTATCCTTCATCTCTGAAGATGATAACGAATAAAGATACACTCCATAAAATCCTACCAGTAATTGAGGAAGCAACGATTGAATTTGATGAAGAAGGTATGGAAAGCCGCAACGCGGAGCCCATAGTTGAGGAAAGTGACCCTGAGGAAAGTGATTCTGAGGATTTATAAGAAAATTTATTTTTGAATAACTGAAGGTGTCACCACGTCACCATGTCACCAGGTTAATTAACTTCTTTAAAAAAGTGTGACATCATGACATTTAGACAACACAGAAGATGGAAGGCATTTTATGAGTTATTTTTGAATAACTGAGGGTGTCACCACGTCACCACGTCACCATGTCACCAGGTTAATTAACTTCTTTTAAAAAGTGTGACAACATGACATTTAGACAACAGCAAAGGTGGAAAGCAAAAATAAATTCCAATCATACTTTATACTGCATCATTTACAGGTATTTCATCGTCAGTAAATGAATCCTCATTATCGTTTGGTTCAACCTGTTTATATAATCCTTTCATTTCTTCTTTCAAAACATAACACCACGTCTGTTTACCATCTATTCTTCTCTGTTTCCTTTCACATTTATCCTTAATGCTCATTTGAAAGTTTTTGTCTTTCATGTCTGATGGTTTGCAGCATAGAGCATTTTTACACGTCATACCTGCACACAATTCATCATAATGTGTATTTATCCATTCATCTAAAGGATTTGTTGATAACTCGATTAAATCTTGTTTGGCTTCAGTCATCGGTATGATTCGTACATTAAATGATGAAAGGTCGTAATTGATAAAATATGTTAGTAAATTATCATAAAATTCCTTTGTGCATGAATCCATTAAATTCTTGAAGTAATCAAATCGACCCTTGAATTTACCATTTACTCTTAACACAACGTATCTTCTGTCTCCAACTTCAATTTTTGACAGGGTAAACGTTATTAGTTACGAAAATGAAATTGGCAACATTCCGAGCAGTTCTTCTGGGTTGATTCTTTTCATTAATTCTAATCTCATTATCCGTTATAATTGATTTCAAAGCGTTGAAGTTTGCAAGTCTGTCTTCACCTACATTCTTGAGTTCATTAAGTACAAGAAGCAGTTTATTCTCAACTACTGAATTGAAATTACCCGTTAGCTCACTTATTTCAGTAATGTTTTTACATGAATAACCAGCGAGAAGTTCAGAAATAATGTCTGTAAATCTGTTTTTACCTGTTCCCTGAAGTCCTTTCAAAATAATTGCTGTTTCATTCTTGATTCCAGGATGTTGAATCATTGATGCAATCCAGCCGAGAAGGTATTTATACACTTCATCGTTATTATCACAAATGGCTTCTTTAATGAAATTCATAAACATTTCAATTTTTGAGTAATCTGGCTTTTCGAGAACGTTGTATTTATAACCCTGAAACGTTGAGAAAACATCTGGAGAATCAGATTTGAAGCAAACCCCTTAACGGTTAATGAGGATAATTGATTTAGTAGTACGTCCCATGCTGTTATGGTTTTACCTTCTTCTTTAAATAATTTAATCATTTTGAGTGACTCTTTCATGTTTGATTGAAGAACGAATGATATTTGATTCATTTTCATGAATATTATAGTCCTTTTGAATGAAATATTTGTTTCCACAATCTACAAAACGGATTACACGTGATAAATCCTCAATTACTTCAGAACTGTTTTTATACTGATGATTTTCAGCCTTGCGTCTAATATCTGTTATCAAGAATGAATCATCAAGTTTTATATCAAATGTTATTTTTGGCTTACGTAATAAAGGTAAAACGTATTCATCATAATATTCCTTTTGATAAAGTTTTAGAATCTTCACTAAAACAAATGGAGAAGTCATTAAATGTGCATATCTACTACGTGCTTTTTCAAAATTACTTTTTGCATTTTCTGTTAAACTGCAGAAGTTATAAACGTTATCGTATGCTTCATTAATTAAATGATTAGGTAACGAATTAATAGCTTGAAACAGTGTGAAATGTTATTTCTTTTTCTAAATTCATGTTTCCACCGTCATTATGTACTTCAAAATCACTAATACCATCGACTATGCTTTGAGCTAGTTTATCGTCAATGTTTACATCTTTGTTTTCATTCATTATACTCTTTATTTCTTCGTTCTTTGTTCAACTCTTACCTTAATATTCAAATCATTAATATATCATTCACTGTTCTAGTTAATGTTGAATCATAACTTCCACGAATGAATGAGTATGTTTTGATTGGTTCTGTTGCATTCTTGCGAACTCTTGAATCAGCCATAACCACTAATGAACGCTTTGAATCATCCATTGAAGTCATGATATCATATCATAATCATTGCAGGAATAGCATTTAATCATTCTGTTCGAAACTGATAGAAGAAATTAGTGTTGCAATAAATGTGAAGACCTCCTGAAGCGGTTTTAACGATAACATCTTTATCCGAAAGTTTTGATAGAATGTCTTTTCTAACTGTTTCTTTAAGTTCATCATTGTACGATTTATTGATATCAACATCTATAATCGTTAAATTTGAATTTTATTTACTAATAAAGCCACACCAGTTTTCCTTCCTCTTCCTCCATCATGTTTGAGGTAGTTATGTAAATCAATCTTATTTTCACCAATTCTTTCGTTGAGGGTTTTAGTTTCTGCCACAACTAATTCCTCAGCTAATGAATCAATAACTTTTTCATCAGAAATTATAAAGTTGCTGTTGTTGTTTGTTGCTGTCATTTATATAGGAATAAAAAAATAAAAATAATTTTAAAACTAACTTTATTTTTGGGCTGCATCAAATTTCCGGGAATGTTGTCTAAATGTCATGTTGTCATCATTTTTAAAAGAAGTTAATTAACCTGGTGACATGGTGACGTGGTGACACCGAAAACATTCATGAAATCATTAATGATAAAATATATTTCTGCAGTTCATCCGCTACTTTATTAACTAATTAACTTCAGACATAAAATATATTTAGTTCATAAAAATTTTTTTATTAATTTTGGCTTATTTTTATCCTTCCAGTAATCCCTTTCGAGTTCCGATAAATGTGTAGGGTTCGATTCTCTCAAATTTCTAGAAGGAATTTTATCATCCACACCTCCTTCATAAATGACAGTGTAGTCATCTTTGTCTTCATCATAACTCACAATTTTATTAACTATACCTCTTTTCGCTTCATCAACCGTCTTAGCTAATCTTCCATTTTCGCTTTCAACTAATCGAAATTGTGGATAAAACGCAACCGAATGGTCAGCTGCTTTAATTAAATAACCATTACCCTGTGAGGAATCAACGATATAATAATCATCACTTAACTGATTTCTTACCTTTTCATGTGGTTTATGTTCAAGAATGATTTTAACTTTAGTTCTTGGTAGTAATGATGAACTTCTTCTTTCCTCCGTTAACATTCTTTTTTGTTTTATGTATTCATCCTCTTTTTTTGAAGTCATTTCGTTTGGTTTAAATCCTGTGCTGTTATGAGTTGATTTATTATAAGCATTAATGACTTTATTCATTGATTTCTCCGTAAAATCTCTTTCTTTATTTAAATCTCTGAGCGTTCGAATGAAACGATTAATGATACCTAAAATATTATGGTTATGGTCTTCAGTCGTGTAATGAGTAACGTTATGTTTAATCAAAAATTCTGTAATTTCATTACTGAGGTATGCTGAATCCTGGTCTGAAGTTAATGAAGTGGGATGATGTTCTGCCACGAACGTCTGCAAAACTCTTAAAACTTCTTTTGTTCCTTTATTTTTCATTATATACGCAAAAGCTTTACGTGTATTAACATTAATGAACATCAAAAATGGTGGCTTTCTTCCTTTCTTACTCTGAACGAGTGTATCAAATTGATATGCATCATGGGTTTTAGAATAAATGGGAAGGTAGTAGTCGTATGGATTAACTTTAACCTGATGAACTATATTTTCATCATAAAATTTCTTAATTTCTGTTCTATCATTAAATCCCGCATTCTTTGCAGCTTCAGAGAATTTTTTAAATGACCTCCACGGTGATGATTCGAAAACTTCTTTTAAACTCATTTATGTAAAAATAAATTTAGTAAATTTCATGCTGTTCTAACCCATGCATAAACCGTCATGTATGGAGGCATGTAGTCTGCACCCGAACCTGTTGAATTTGTTGTGAAAGTGTGTGAATGATTACCATTCCATGTTGTTTTGTGCTGAACTACTTTTGATGTATATTCTGTTGGAGAATAAACATTATCGCTGTTATCATCTTTTTGCCATTGATTTAAGAAACTACCATCAATAGTATGTTGATGGTCTCCAGAATCACTTGTAGTTCCTGTATGCTTATGTGGTGGAAGGTTTGCTTCTAAAATTTTCTTTGAACCTCCTGTTTGATTTGATGAATTAGCACAGTATAAGAATTTATCTACAATCTGCTGCCATGTACCAAAACCTAAAACACTTGCCGGATTTGTTGAATTCATTGATGTATATAAAGAACCAACAGGATATATAGCTTGTAATATTTCATTCTTCATACTTGCAATTGCATTTGTTGCATCAGTTCTAAATTCATCGAAACCATCAAGAATATTAGTGAGATTATTATATTCCACATTCTTTTGACCAGGTAATTGATGGTGTAATTGAATGTCATTAACTGTTAATGAATCTATATTCGAAAATCTTTCATTAATTTTACCATTAACTGCATCATTTACTTCTGACTTCTTCACATAATTTTCATCTACACATTCCTTTGATTCTTCTGTATAACTCATTGCTTTTGTATCATAACGATTTAATTCTTCATCTACATATATTTTGTCGGTTTTATTGGCTAAATCAACAACCATATCTCTTAGGTTAGTGCACATATCTTCATCACGCATGCTTGATGAAGCAATAGCCCAATTCAATATTATCTCATCAGCTCTAATAGTAGTGAAAAATTCATGTGTATGTTCTTTATCTGCTTTCTTATCTAACATTGCTGGTAGTTCATATGCTTCAAAGTTTCTGACATGACCTTCGATATTCGTACAACTGTTATCTAAACTGTTAAGCGTGTCTTTTACGCTAGTGCTTGGATTCTCTAAAGGTGCACTTGAACCAAGGTCAAAGTTCAGTATTATGTCGTCTGCTCTAACAGTTATGAAGGATTCATGCGTATGATTTTTGTCTGCTTTACTGTCTAATGAAGTTTGAAGTGAATTTATGTCGTTATGTTCTGTTATTAAATCACGCCTTAAGTTTACTATTTCTTGATTTAACTCAGGGTGCATATGATTTACATCAGCTTTACTTTTAATAGCATCTTCAAAAGTTATTTTTGCCTTAACTCTCAACATAAATCTTGGTTCAACTAATACATCGTTAACAAAGAAGTATGAAGCATAAATTTCATCGTTATAATCAAATGCTTCTGGTGCTTTACCTGTTGTATCATAATTTATAACACATCTTATGTCATAACCTTCAGCACGAATGAATTTATATCTTCTTTCATTAACATCTTCCGTATTCTTCTTTTCATCCTGTGTTAAATATCCATGATAATCCGTTATAATCTGTTCATCTGAACTTATATAATGAACATGGTTTTTATCTGCTTTACTATCTAATTTCTCATTAACATCATTCACTTCTAATTCAACTCTTCCGCCAGAACTCTTATTATCATTAATCTTTTTCATTAATTCAGTAATTACATCATAAAGACTGTATTCTGTTTTCGGTTCTGTAAATAATGAGTCAAAATTTCTTTTCATCATTACATCGCTGACATTAATGATATCAGCTATACCTTTTTCATTTATTCTTTTCATTAGTTCTGCAATAATGACGAATATATAATCTGTTAATTTATTCTCTTCATCAAGGTTATAGAATGATTTGAAATCGAATCATTAACACCTCTAAATAAATCAATAACTTCAGGATACACGTTTTTAATGTCTCGAATAACCTGACCCGTATCCTTGGTTTCCTCTTTTCTTCTCTTCGTTTATGTCTCTAGCCATCATCAACGCAGCCATAACCGGAGGATTTGTTGCTACCTGTTCGAAAATCTGTCCGTTATGTACGGTATATCTAAATAATTTCTTTGTGTTTGTTAAAACATTTGAAACAAGTCTATTAAAACCATCCACAAAATTTCCCGTTTCACCTAATGTTCTTGCAGCATCTACAAGCTCACCCATTCCCGCTTTTGACCCCAAAAACGTCCATATTGCATTTATTTCACTCTGTATAGTTGTCCATTCAGCGAAACTAACACCCGCATTCGCTAAGTCGAAAATGAAACCCAGTGGATCGAACTTAATTCCGCCTTCTTTTTCAATTTCAACGAACTCACTAACATGAGATTTTAAATATTCTTTCGTTAAAATCGTTTTTCCTGATGTCATGCTGTTAACGGAACTATCACCGTCAAAAGTTAACGAATTCAATTTCGTCATTGATGCTTTTATTTCATACACCGCTTTATCATAGTTTTTGGCTCACCTTCTTTAGAAGTGTATGAAACATTAATGAATGAATTATATGTATTCATGAATGAGTTAAAATCAATGATTTTCATTAATGAAGCCTTTAATGATTCATTACTGTTGAATCCCTTAATTCAATTACTGAACTGTCTATTAATGAAAGGTACACTGCAAACCGTCGAGTTTGGATCAAATGCCGTAGTCGGCTGGGGAGTATTAATTATATAAGTCATTAAATCATTAAGTGATGCAAATAATGTTGTTGTTTTTGATTTAATTTCTTTAGCATCTGTTATATACGGTAATTTTATTTCTGTAGTTTCTGAATTAAAGATATTCGCTAAAATGTTTTGTAAACTGTTTTGAACAGCTGTATAAACCGTTGAATTCGGAACTCTTACAATTTCACCATTCTTAATAAAGGGCATTGCACATGGCGTAGTGCTTGGGTCAAATCTTTCGGGATTATAATTCAACATATATTCTAATGCTTCATAAACAGACCTATATACTGTTGTGTTATCTTTTTCAATAATTTCACCGTCTTTATAAAGGCATTGTGCATGGCGTTAATATTGGAATGAATTTTTCATATTCTTTCCACGAGATTAAATGTTCAGTTTTTCCGTCAGTGATTATTAAATGCTCATCATCAAATGAAAACGTGTATGAACCAAAATTAATCTTTTCGCCCTATCAGCTTCATAAGAATATGCGGATATACTCATATTTTTAATTATAATAAAAATGTTGTTCTATTTGCAAAGTACAGACCTAATGATTACGGGACATTAAAATTACAAACTAACCTTGGTCTTCAGAATGAACCACTAACTTTCAGAGTTCTTGATTTTAGCACTATCGCTTCATTTGTTATAACAGACACTAACGATTTCATTATATTTGAAATTGATGGTATTAGTACTGAAATTCATTTTAAAGCAAGAAATAAATATGATATTGATACGTTAGAGAAAAAGATTCAGGATCTCATTGATGAAAAATTTAACGGAGCCCTTAACTGTGAATTAACTGATTCAGGAATAATAAAATTTAGTTCCGAAAAAGAATTTAAAATTACTGATATGACTCATCGAGCACGTTTATTACTAAGTGCTTATCATCAAGAATTACCATTAAAATCTTCTATTGAAAATCAAAAATATAATTGAAATGAAATCTGCACCCTACATATGTTATGGAAACTGTTTATATGTTGAATCAAAAATAAGTAATGTAACAGGAATTTCAGGAGTTAATAATAAAAATTCTGTTATAGAATATAAATTGTTCTGTTACGCCGTTAATTCTGTATTCATGCCTAATTTCCCGATTTTATTAAGACACGAAGGAAAATGGGTTCGAATTCAACCACACCATTTAAAAGATATGACATTTAGATTAGTTGATTTTCAAGGCGAACCAATTGAAATTAAAGCTCCTGTGCAGATGACCATAGAAGTTGATTTTTGGTCTAATATAAGAGCTAATGGACTAGATGATGAACCAGGTATAAAAATATAAATTTTAAATTAATTCGTTAAAACATATTTCAAGCAGAGTTTATATTCTGTTGAAAGTTTTGTGTATTCATTCGAATATTTATACTTAAACTCAACTCCTGTAGTTCCTGGTGTTTCGATTATTCTAATATTACCGATTTTCATAAATACTGGTGTTTGACCACAACATTCGATTTCAGGGTCAAGATAATCAATAATGCACTGTTTACCTGTTATTCTTGATATAACATTTTCTAAATCCTCCTTTGTTAAAATTATTTGATTCTTACTAATAAGATTTGTCAAAAGCTTCTTATCGTCTTTGAGTAAAATTGTTTGGTATAAATTAAGGAGGTAATGGTCTACGTTATCTGAAGGATTTGTTTGAATAGTTGAATATGGATTGTCGTTGGCATCTCTTGAAATTATAGGCTCTAATGGAGGTGGATATTCTAACTTAACTTCACTGTTAGCGTTTGCGTTTGAAGCTGTGTTTAAATTAACCGACTTAAGTTCTTCTTTATCTTTCAAGTTTTCGGAGCTGTAATTTTTGATTATAATATTATTTGTCGTTCTTGAATCAACATTCGACGTCGGTTCGATTGGAACATTCACTGCACCGGCTAAGATGGATTTACTTCTCATTTTCTAGAGAATAAAAACCTTTTATTACTATAAAAATGAATAATATCTTTGATAAAGGTTTAAATGTGAAACTTGAAAATGAAAATCTTGTTGAATTCACTGAAACGGGCGCAGTTTATAAAGATGTTGAGGTGTTAAATAAGAAATCAAAAGGCAGGAGTAGAAATATGAACATCGATTATAAACCATTTACTATTTACGTAAATGATGGTTCTGGTGGTTCAAACATTAAATATGCCGAAAGTAATAGAGTTTATGCGTTAAAAGGTGAAGCACCATCGATTAAAAACAGTTATTCAAATCTTTATCCTCAAAAACTGACTGATCCAGAAAGTGTGGACATGAATGACACCAAAAATATAAACAGAAATGGTGATAGAGATGGATGGAATCTATTCACTACACCTCATCTAAAAATAAAGCTTTAAAATAATGTTGGTCTTTCCCAAGGTATATTTTTAACATTAATTGTATTAGTCATTATATGAATTTCTAAATATGAACGTGGTGAAATGAGTGATTTATAAGCATCCCAGATTTCATCAAAAGGTAATGTTATACCTGATTGCTTCCAAATTAATTCTATATCGTATTTTGAGAAACCTTGAAATATAACGAAATCAGTAATGAGACGTTTAATGTTTAAAGCTAAAAACCTCCACGTCTGCATAAGTATTGCAACAGTCATGTGATAATGTCTGACTTTAGTAATTAAATTAGCTAATGGTGAATCTGGTTTTGAAACTAAACCTTTACCAGCGAAATCATCACAAACTAATAAAGTGTTTGAAGGATATTTTTTAAAAGGATATTTTGAAAGTTTTGAGAGAATGTAGTTTGTCAATCGTTTCATATCATATGAACCATCCTGCTGTCTCAAATGATGTTTATCAATAATTCTTTCCATTTCTTCCGATGTCTTTTGCATTCCTGTTTGTATAAATTCAACTATTGCATAATATTTCTTCTTTCTTCTTATATAACGTTGAAGAAAAGAAATTAATTCGCTATCTGGAACTTTAATTACTGATGCCTGAACTTTACTCATAAACGTCTTCGCTGTTGAATCCATTGAATCTGAAGTTGCTGATATAATGATTTGGTCATAATATGAATCAGAGCCTAAACGTTCAGTAATTAAAATATGACGAATTAAATTAAAAGTCTTTCCCGAACCCATTTTTCCGCAATAGAAATACACACCGTTTGAACAGAACTGATAATCCTTACTGAAGGGAAGAATTAATGAACTATTGAGTTTATCAGATTTTTCATTCATTTTTTCATCTACTTCTTCAAATAAATGTTTCATTTTATTATAATTAAAAATGCAAGTCAGAAATTTTGTTAATACCGTTCCCAGTCTTAATGATAAAAGTATTAAAATCTATTATGAGCACATATTTTCACAACCGTTTAAAATAATCAATGGTGAATACATTTATGAATACCCTAAACACTGGGTTGATTATAACACTGGCGAAAAAGCAATTGATGAAAAATGCAAGTCAAAAAAAATAAGACCTCTCTAATTTATTTTATCCTATTTTTGATATTTTTTATGTTTGTTGCGGCCGAAGGTCGCAACCGCCGGAGGCCCGATTTTTTTGCCCGGTGGAAATTTTTTCCAAAAAGTTGGTGGCAAGTGGCACCAACTTTTTGATGTTTTGGAAAAGCATACAATTTATATTCATCTTGAGCAATTCTTCAGCGTCGCTATCCGATATTAATAAGTCCTTAGAGTAATCTGGATCATGCTTAAAATTTTTTTCAAAACTTTCCGCAAATGAAGCTATGAAAGTCTCGAAGTATAGTCGCTTTACACAATATGAAGAATTTTTGAATTCACTTTGATCATAAATTTTAATACAATTTTCAAATTGGCGATATAACATAAATTCTCGACGTCTGACAACAGAAATGTGTATAATCGCTTTATATTTGATATCTACAGGATAGTTTAAAATCTCATCCCAAAAAGAATTTTAAATATTTTCTAAGATTTTAAACGCCGGCTCGTAATCTATAAGACAAGCGAGAGCTTCAATAGTAAAAAGTGACATGCTGTCAATTATCGTTTCAGTATCTGGATCTATATTAGAATCTTCGAGTATATTGTCAAATACCATTTTTTGAGTAACCTCATTCAAGTTTGAGAAATCCATATACATGTTGTCATGATATTTAAAGATTTCTTCAAGGAGTTGCTTATTTTGAATAAAGAATTTAAAATGACTAAATATTAGATCAAAAACTTCTATAAAATGAGGTAGTAAATACGGAAACTCATTAAATATTTGATTTTGAAGTATGCTATTTTATGTGTTTGTTCGAGCAATTGTATTACTTCCAACGCCACTTGATAATTGCATGATTGAAATTCCTGATCGATAATATGGAAAACATCGTCAATATCAGAATTTTCTAATTCTGGTATGTTTACTGCAAAATCTAATAACTTGGGTGTTTGTTTCGTTGAATTTTTCTTTATGAAAGTTAAATTGTCTAATTTTGGCTCAAGAGCTTGAGGAATTTCCATCAAATTTAATACATACGATTATTTCCCCTTCAAATATAAAATCTCTATTTATAAAGTATATTGTAATAAACAGAAATTCATCAAAAGTGACAGCTCTCAATTTTTTGACATTTGTAAATTCTAAATTGAATGAGAAAAATGAAATAATACTAAGCATAATACAATATTCTAGATTTAATTATAATTAGGAAAAAGTTAGTTTTGAGAGTACTTTTCATAGGCATATAGAATGAAATCTTCTGAAAAATAATATCACATAAACTCATATTATTTTCTAATATATAACTATTTTATATAAAAATCAAATTCAATGATCTTAAAAGCGAAGGATAAACCTCAAAATTTACGAATATAATGAGTGGGAATATAATGCTTATCTATCATAAAACCATATGAAATATCAATTTTTGCTTTACGCCTAATTTTTGACGACAATTAGCAAAAAATGTTAAATGTTAACACTCAGTCCATTTGAATATGAAAAATAAAATTGACTTTGATTAAATGTTTTTATTTATCATGCAATTCTTCTTGCGACCAAAGATTTGAATAAAATTTCAAAAAATAAGATAGCTTAAAAAATAATATACGGTAGTGTTTACTAATAGATGAATAGTATATAAATTCTATTAAAATGGATTTGATCCAAAAAATATATAAAATTTGATCATAAATAAAATTGTTTAGTAGTCATTTAAAATGATGTAATTATTCAAATTTTGCTAAGACCCATTCGTCTTTGATATATAACCCCCATTTTTGCATTTCTGGCTCGTACCAAAATTTTGAAACTTCGAATAATTTGTTAGGAGTGTAATTACTATTCGTTTTTGGATTAATATCGAGAGATAAATGTGGTGTATTGTTGTATTTTTCAATGAACTGCTGAACTGAGTCCTTGATTTTTTGAATATCATCCAACTCGTCTGGCAAAAACTTTTCTAAGCTTGGCCACAGGCGCTCCACCTTGCCGTTCTGTCTTAGCATATACGGCAAGGTGTGCTTCCAAACTATTCCGTTTTCCTGCATAACCTGGCCGAATTCACCGCGGTTTTCACCGACGTTATCGGTCCAGATGCAGTAAGGAATAAACTCCTCTAAAAGTTTTCTTAAAACCTTCGCTGTTGAGTTGGAAGACTTGTTTTTCAATAATTTAGTTTTGAGAACTTTACGTGTCATATCATCCAATATGGCAAAAAATGGAAAAGAAACATTACCGTGAAGGTAATGAATATCGCAGTGCCATATCAAATTCTTTGATATGGCACGATATTTGGTAGGTGGATCTGCTGGTTTGTAATCTCTTTTTGAAGATAAACCTGATTCCATCATAAATTTTTCCACTTGATGATGCTTTATTTTTTGTAAATTGTCAAAAATTTGATCTTTTGTCAAATCTTCTATATTTTCAAATTCTTTTGCAATTTCTTCTTTTTCTTTCTCACAATCGGGATTTTGAGCAATATTTTGAAACCTTTTAATCAATAAATAAGTTTTTGAAATTCCTCCTTTATATTGTGAAACACAAGAATTAATTAATTGTTTTTGCTCAAATGTTGGTGGATTTGGTTTTCTGCCGCGAGTAACTTTTGGTAATTCAATTTCTTGAAGTTGAAATGCTCTTCTTATTGTATTTTCGGCAACATTCAATTTAATTTTACCATTTTCCAATTCAACTTCCTTTCCCACACTTTTGTAAGATTCACCTTCTTCTATTCTTCTTTTGGCTTCAAATAGCCATTCTCTGCTTATAGATTTGGCAGTAGTCATAAAAGTGGTCCTTCTTTTGTGATAAGATTCAAATTTGAATGTGGATGATAAATAAAAATCAAAAATAATTGTTATAATTTAAATGAAGAAGTAATTTAAAACGATTTTATTTATGATCAAATTTTATATATTTTTTGGATCAAATCCATTTTAATAGAATTTATATACTATTCATCTATTAGTAAACACTACCGTATATTATTTTTTAAGCTATCTTATTTTTTGAAATTTTATTCAAATCTTTGGTCGCAAGAAGAATTGCATGATAAATAAAAACATTTAATCAAAGTCAATTTTATTTTTCATATTCAAATGGACTGAGTGTTAACATTTAACATTTTTTGCTAATTGTCGTCAAAAATTAGGCGTAAAGCAAAAATTGATATTTCATATGGTTTTATGATAGATAAGCATTATATTCCCACTCATTATATTCGTAAATTTTGAGGTTTATCCTTCGCTTTTAAGATCATTGAATTTGATTTTTATATAAAATAGTTATATATTAGAAAATAATATGAGTTTATGTGATATTATTTTTCAGAAGATTTTGTGTTCTTCTTCAAAATTTTATTTTTTATTAAAAAGAATCTTTACAAAATATACATTTACTTTAATTAATATTTAAAAACGTGCTCTATCAAAAGTTCCAAAAATTCAATATTTTAGCTTTTCTGAGGTGTCACTTTTGATGAATTTCTGTTGACAACAATATTATAACTAGTGCAAGATAAGTGATAGAAAACAATAAAATATTACTGTTTTTATAACCTTTTTAATTTCGGTTTCAAAATGCAATGATATTTTCATAAATTGAGAGTAGGTGCCAAAAGTGGTTACTCTTAAACAACCGTCGGATTTCCGGGTGAAATCGTGACACACTTTCGTCTTTCGTAGGTGGTGGTGGTTGTTACAAAAGGTAACTTCGAATGTAGCGTGAAATCTGCAAAAAAATTCTGAAATTTGAATGGAGAACACAAAAATTGAATAGTTTACGTCAATAAAAAAGAGAAAAATGAAGCCAATGTGTTTCGAACTTAGGACTTAGAGCAGCAATCCCACTGTTTATCCCATTACACTACATGCATCTCTCACCTCAGTGAATGAGATCAACTATATGATAACTTTTTCCCCATTATATTCTTGTGGAAAAGTGACAAATAGCAACTTTGACCCTCTCTCCATAAATTGATATGGAAAATAGGATATAGAATTATTTTTAGGGTATTTCTATTTTCCAAAAAATTAGTAAATCAGTTTTTTTAACATGAAAACTCTAACTTTTGTTTCTGCTTTTATTTTTTGAAAAAAATTTGGAATTTTTGTGATATAGCATAACATTTCAGAAACAATAAAATTGGATGACGATATGATATTTTTGAATCAATTTCATTTATGACATGATTTACAAAAAATCAAAGGAAATTTCTCAAAAAATGTGCTATTATAATAGAAAAAATGTCTCACTTTATGTTTACAATGTATAGAAATCAAAAATATTATTTGTTGCTAATCTTTTAGTAAAACCAAACAGAGTTTTTCATTTTATCAATGGTGTCGAAGACATTTAAACACCACCCGTCGGACACTGCTTGCCAATATTAAATTGACAAGCAGTAAATAAGTTACCATAGGTGTAAGAATACGCCAATTCCAAAATGAAATTAGAAATAATACAAAATTTGTATTTAAACACCGCCCGTCGGACACTGCTTGCCAATATTAAATTGGCAAGCAATTTCTATTGTTAATTCAGAGGCCTCGGGCTCTCCTTCTTTTTTCTCTTCCCTAATTTCTCCCTCCCGGGGCCTCTGACAAAAGTATTCAATTTTGATTTTGACATCTGACATCTGATATTTGACAATCTGACAAAAGCTCTCAATTTAAATTTGACATTTGACATCTGACATTTTCGTTCATAAGATTCGCAGTTTACAAGAAAGCTGGGAAGCTTTGTCTAAATCCTCAGTTATTAAGACAAAGTTTCCCAACTATCTAGTAGA